CAGCCGGGAGGCGCGCCTGAAGTTTTTCAGAGTCAAGTTCAATCCCAAGGATTGTAAGACGAGTTGCAGGTCCCCTCCAGCTTATCTGGATGAAGTGGTAGACCAAGTTTTTTACACAGTTGAACACAGGTTTGAAGGTTGTTGTGGCAGACAGGGGAAGCCGGTGGGCCCAAGGTGAAGAAATCGTCCAAGTAATGACAGAGGAATGTGACATCATAATTTTGAACCAGAATCCATTCAACCAAGTCTGCAATGGCGGTAAAGATGAATGGTGCTGAACACATACCAAATGGGAGCACCAAATCCACAAAATATTGCCCACGCCATTTCATGCCAAGAAGGGGGCGATCATCCAGGTGGATTGCCACATTCCGATATGCACTGGCCACGTCGAACTTGGCCATTAATGTTCCTCGACCCAGAGTCATTATGCCATCAATGAAGGCATCAACTGAAACATACTGAACTGTATACGGGGGCTTAGGGATGCCGTCATTTACGTTTTTCCCCTCAGGTGAGGAGAGGTCCAAAATGAGACGCCACTTCCCAGGCTGATTATTTTTAGGATCACCCCAAAACGACTTATGTGCAAAGACGGAAGTGGCGGCACTGGAAAAGGACCTGCCACCCTGCTGGAAGAGACTTCATTTTGCAAGTAGGAGTCAATCACTGATGGGTGTTCAGAAGAGCTACGCATGTTCGAAGATGCAGATTTGAGTGACACCAAGGAGGGGTCGAATCCTATTCGAAATCCATCCTGTATGCCAGAAATCACATAAGTTACAGCTGATTCATTGGGATGATGGCGCAACTCTGCTTGAAATTGATCCAGCTGTAATGGTGAGACCTTAGAAACCGGAGATAAAGGAGCAAAAGAGACAGCTGTAATGCAGGGCGTAGCTGGAACTGAAACTGGAACGGGACAAAACAAATTTGCCAGCTGAGGCAGTCCATTCTGCTGGCTAGGCAACACAATCAAATTATTTAACCTATGCACAGACACAACATTGGGCATACCTTGCCCGTCAGTACTGTCCCCTTCTCCCCCCAGGGGAAGGGGAGCGGGAACGAAGTCCAGCTGAGCGGGGAAAAGGGCAGTTAGCCTTGGTATGCTCTCCCTCGCAGTTGCTGCAGTTGTGGTGGAACCTGCACCTCCCAAATGGCCACCGGCATAGCCCTTCATTCCAGGAATGGCAGAATGGTGTACGTAAGCGGGAGTCCGGGTTGCCTGAGGAAGACTGAGGAAACCCAGAAAGGGAGGATGGCTTTGGTTGCAGTAAGGACGATGTTGGCAAAAGCAGATGAAAATTATACAGATCCAAATTCATTTTGGACCAATCATTAAAGCCCGAGGCAGCGGCATCCCTTGTGAAGGCCAGATCGTATTCAAGCCAAGCCAGACCTGGATATTGACGGGCTGTTTGAATAACGAGGAGCTTGTACTTCATCAGGTCTAACCAATGCAGGGGATAAGAGGCACACAGGACCAGCTGGAAAATTGCGAAGGCCTCGGTCCAGGTAAGAATACCCTTAATTTCAACTTGCCTGCGTTTGGCGTTGGACACAAGGAGTTTACCCTCCAGGAAGGTCTGTGGTTCCTGTTCCACAGCGCGAAGATTTACCGTAAGCAGATCCGCCAACTCCACGAACTGGCCCTCTATGATCTTCTTGGCCAAATTAGCGTGGATTGGTGCATGACCCGGACTGACAATAAAAGCCTTCTCAGACTTGGTCACTGATGCAGAATTACTGAGGCTTGGCAGGCTACTGGCTACACTGGAACTAGTGAACGGAGAGGTGATGGGGGCCACGAAGCGGGCCGAGCTCGAGTCAGTGATGGCCGACACGGGAGAAAAAGTAGGAACAAAAGCAGGCAAAGTAAACATACCTGACGACGCCCCAGAAGCCACAGATGAAACGTTGGCATCACAAGAAACAGCAGTCGATTCGGAGGAGCTAGATGGAGCAACGCCAACAGAAGTGCCAGGGACGGAGGAATTTAATGGCGAGGGGGCGTTCCCTTGAATTGCAGARATGATGGTAGGAAGGGAGCTTCCAAGTGCGCGAACAACAGCCTCCGCGATCGAATCGACGGCCAAAGGCGCCACAGGGCCAGAGGGAGCCGTTGAAACCACTGTCGGCGCGGAAGACAACACAGGTAAGTCCTCCGAACGAAGTCCGGTGGACAAGCTATTGTTGGTTGAACCAGGTGGGTTCGGCATGATGTACAGTAAAAAAAAAAGTCAGCGACGAGCGAGTTAAAGACGAACCAAAAACACGACAGCGGGCGAAGAAACCACGGTGGATGAATGACGAAATTTCTTTTTTTGTATCCCCAACTGGGAACCGCTACACTAAGCCCGCCAAAACTCCACGCTATCGGAGCGGCGAGCACACTATCGGTCCAGGTATGAGAGAACGACGAGCGAGTTAAAGATGAACCACGACGGTTAAAGACGAAACACGACAGCGGGCGAGGAAACCACGGTTGACGAATGACGAAATTCTTCCCAACTGGGAAACGCTATACTAGGTCAGCCAAAACGCCACGCTATCTGAGCGGCGAGCACACTATCGGACCAGGTACGAGAGAAGAGAAGACGAACCAACTTCTGTTTTAACTGGGACAGCGACCGAGATAGCTAACGAAGCAATAGGGAGAACGCCGAGAGCCGCTAAACTATAATTCAATCCACAACGCCACACTAACAGAGCGATGAACTCACTGCGAGCACATGGGACGACAACACATGTACTAACCAAAAATACCGCTAGACAGTGTCAGCCCCAGGGCTCTCACGACCATGACTGCTGCAAACGCTACGGAACGCACCAAACGCTAAACAAACGCTAACAGATGGCACTAACAAACGCCTACAAAAACGCTACTGACCAGACTCGCTCCTGGTCATAAACTATGTAAAATTCTATTGAACTATATCAAACGCTACAGAACGCACCAAACGCTAACCAAATGCTCACAGACGGCCAAGACACCAACAACCGCGTGTAAAAACGCTACTGACCAGACTAGCTCCTAGTCGTTAACTATGTTAAATTTCATTTAACTATATTTGTCATTTGCCTGATGTGCAAGGGCCCAGGCAAGTGGTCTGCTAACTAAATCAATTAATACTTGCCCAGGGCAAGCAAATTTGAGAGCTGCCTATCTGAAGGGAAAGCTGGAATTCAAGATTTCTTCAAATCCTGAATAACCCATCTATATTTCTCTCAATCATGGACGAAGAATGGCTTGTTATCATGGCTTTTGCATGCTTTAGCATTTTCCCTTGTGGTCTCCTTATTTATAATTTTTTTAAGAGGGTTTAGTAAAGATTAATACAATAATTTCATTAACCTCTCCTTTACAACTAAAATGCCTGAAAACATCCTACAAAGTTATGTTGACTAATGTTGTAGGCACACAATGCATGTACAGGCGTACAGCTACAAGCTAGCTCTCTGGGTACGTTGCATGCTTATGATGCTAGAAAGTAATATCTGGCATCACTTATGTCCAAATTCCTACAGCTACATAACCCTCTGCATGCATTGCTTGCCTATTTACTACTGACTATAGAAGCAAGAAGAAATCTAAAAAAAAAAAAGGTAGGAACCCATACTATCCCCAGAAATGGTCCCACAGGTGACTGCGAGGTATCACAAGCCCCAGATTTCCTGTCCTTTTTTTAAGACAGTGGCAAATGAAGTTGATATTAAAAGTGTAAATTAAGTGGAGAATAAGAGTACTTTCAAAGAACATTTGAATGCTGTGGACATGTGATATGGTGTACAGAGTTTGTGTTGTGCTACATCATTTCAATGCAGTTCATCAAATTGAATGTCAATTACCTGTAAGTTCAATTGAAAGGCTGCGGGCAAAAACGTCCCCTGGAGTTTTTGGCCATTTTTGAAAGTGCTCAAAAATAGCTGAATTTTGGCGTGTGGGCTTCGTTTCACCTGAGAAACATTGCTCTGAAGTTTTTTTTCGCTGGGGTGCTCTTCATTCTCGAGAAATAACATCCAAAAAAGGTACACAGGTTGGAAAAACCGAGTGGTTTATTGCATACGCAATATCTCAAAAACAAAGCGAACTTTAGCGTGAAAACTACGGGACATTGCTTAACATACCTTAACAAAACTGCATGCGAAATTTGGAGCGTTTTCGTTTTTCACTTTTGATTAAAATACTTAACGCCCTTTTCCTGCTGAGTCCTTCAATTAAACGAAGCCGGGCCTTTGTTATGATAAACCGAGCCGATCCTTTGTTAGAATAGCCAAGCCAAGGCTTTGTTATAAGTTGAAGTCTCGTCTCGGTTTATTATAACAAAGGATCGGCCAGCCACGACCGCAAGGAGGTTGATTTCACTTAGAAAGCAGCAAAATGTCAATTTCATGCAACGTATAGGCTCAAAAATGTTGATTTTAGGTCAAAAAAGGTTTTAATGTTGATTTCACGTTAATGCGTGACGGCAAGGATGTTGATTTCTCTTAGAAAACAGCAAAATGTCAATTTCACGCAATGTATAAGCTCAAAAATGTTGATTTCAGGTCTAAATAGGTAAAATGTTGATTTCACGTTAACGTGTGACGGCAAGAATGTTGATTTCACTTACAAAACAGCATAATGTCAATTTGACGCAACATATAAGCTCAAAAATGTTGATTTCAGGTCTAAATAGGTAAAAATGTTGATTCACGATAACGCGTGACGGCAAGGATGTTCATTTCACTTAGAAAACACTGAAATGTTGATTTCATCAGAACGCGTGACCACAGAGATGCTCATTTCACATAAGGTTAGTAAAATGCTCAAGGCTCTTGTGGTTAGGGTTTGAGTTAATAGAGATTAGTCCAACGTTATTCAGCAGGGTTAGGGCT